ACACGGCAGGGAAGGAGAAGAGAACGACAAATAAATCTACACAGGAATCAACCAATCCAGGAGCAGCGTGGATCAGTTCTCCCAAAGTCTCACAGCAGAAACCACATCAGACCCATCAGAATCTGTTCCACGTCACAGATAGCTGCACCAAAGCCAAGGGAGTTATGCCAGGCACACCGGGTGCCCTTGGATCACACTGCTCCACATTTTGTTGAGCAAGACGATTAAGCCAATGGATATTTTCTGTCTGTTTCTATGATCAATATTTAGCAGTTTCCCAACAGCCCCCCCTGCACAAAGGGTTGCAACCTTCTCTTTTGCACAGAAGCATTTTATTGAATGGGCTGTCAAGATCGAGCCTTGATGACTCCCCCGGTCGTGAACTAAAACTACTCCTCTGAGCAAACCACCATCCCAGAAAATGACTGGGTATGGGAATTTTCCCAACATTTTCTGAGCAAAGTGGAAAGAGAGCAATAGGTAGGAAAAGAGACATAAAAGAAGGGATGCAGCTATGACAGTAGAAAAAGTCAAAGCTAATGAGCACTGATAACCTAAGCTCTGTGAAAATGGGAGAGAACACACTGGTTTTGTTTGGCGCCAGGTCTGCAAACCTTTTTAGTGTCTTTAATGGATTTAGCATATAAAATTCTATTTCTGTTATCAATTTACATGGCAACTAAGAGTCCCAGTAGTGCAAGAAATCATTCCTTTCCCACTCTTCAGCCATATGCACCATTTGGAGAGACCCATCTCCAGGATCACCAGGGATCACGTCACTTGCCAGGCACACAATACAAGATGCTACTGCCTCGCAGCAATCTCCCTGCCAGCAGCAGCCAGAGGGATCACACGGGGACCTGCATTTTGCCAGGGTTAAGGTAAAGCTCCAGGAAGCAATATGAAATTCAACAGCCAATCAACACGATGCCCAATTTTCTGCAAGGTTTCCAATGCTGGACCACAGGCAGTTGCATCTGCATCATTAAAACCGGTTTGTTTTGCTGCATTAAAGCCACAAATCAGGCACGTGACAGTAATGAGGAAGAGACATCTATTTAGCTTTCTGGCCAGATAGACCAGCTAAAACTGTATGTCTGAAAACACTCGCTTTAAACTGTGCATCCAAGGATCCGCTGTGTTCTGTATTCTGCAGGCAGCTGTCATGTGGCAGTTGTAAACCTGCAGCCATATCTCCATTGGTGTTTATTTTTAATGCAATCTCTCCAGTCTGCAAGGCTAAGGCAAATAAGAAAACCTGTCTCCTAAAAGTACCCTTAAATATTTTCTTTCTTGTACAGTCCAGCAAGCATCTCCTGCCAGTGCTGGGGCCAGCTCGCCCCTCTCCCAGCAGCTGAAAGCAGCAGCTGAAAGCAGCAGCAGAGGGGAAGGGCAGACCCACGGATAACTGACAAGAGAGCCCACAGCGTGGGAAGGAGGCTGTCAGCGCTGCGTCTGTGCAGCAGAGGTGAGAGCGGGAGGACTCCACGCACGGGCAGACGGCAAACGCTGCGCAGAGCTGCAAGGACAGCGCCTGCAGCAGCCGCAGACAGCAGCCATCAGGTATCCCCACTCCCAAAAGCAGACTGGCACCGAGCCAGAGCCTCAGGCACCCTGCAGAACTGCCAGCCTCATGTCACCAGGTCCCAGCCGTCAGCCCCCGGCCCCCTCCGACACCCAGGAACAGCGTGTGCAGCAGGGCACTCACGCAGACCTGCGCACACCCCACACACCCCCTCTATCTTTTCCAACCATTTTCAGGACAACTTCCCACCGTGAGAGGAGCAGACACAATTCTCCAGGGAGAGAAAGAAGATACAGAGCCATTACGGTTGATAAATCACCCTGTGCACAAAGATTATTCCCCAGTCCGACCCTCCTCCCACCAATCGCACTTCCCACACAGCACATGGGCTCCTCGATTGTCGTCCTGGGGCTGCAGCACCGGAGCACAGCAGGTCAGGCAGGGCTCAGCTCCCACACTGCAGCTACTGAGAGGTCATCCCGGAACCAACGCAGCCCTTGCTCTACTTCGCAACAGCCAGAGCTAGAGGCTTCAGCAAAACACTCCTAAAAGCCATCTAAGGAACTATGTCCCCCACAACATCCCCAAAATCCATCTAAGGAACTATGTCCCCCCACCGTTCATTCTAGGTGTCCATCAGCTCCTCCAGCACTGAGGCTTTACACACCTCAGGCACTGCTGGAAGGTCATTATCTCACCCAGCAGTAGCTGACACCTCACACCAGCAGCACCCTGCCCACTTCCAATCCTCTCCAACATCCGTCTTCAAATGCACTTCCAATGCAGCTCTGTTGGAGCTACTTCCCTTCCACCCATGCTGGTGTATGCCCTGGAGCTCACGTGTAGGATTTTCCACCTTTCTCCCTGCCATATTCCTGACCATGCCATGGGGACCAGCACTGTGCTCTGCTCAAATTCCAGCCCCGTCCTCCATATAAGACATCACGTCTTCAAATTTTCACCTTTTATCATTTTCATATGTCAGCATTTCTGTGTCGACACTTTGGTCGTTAGTCCCCCTTGCTGCCACTTCCCCTTTTATTTCTCACTATTTCTCTTCCATTTTAAGTCTATTTCTGGAGGTTTGGGCATCCATCTTCACCAAGGGGCTAGATATGAATGAATGACAACTCAATCCCTGAAGGAAATAAACAGGGTATCTGGGACAATGAGGCAGCCTATGTCCAACCCTTTGGTAGAGCCAGGGGAGACCAGGCCCAACCGCAGGAGGTGAATGGATCATGGTCGCTGTCACAGCCCCAGACAAGGTTTAGATGGTGACACACCCTCCCCCACGTGAGGTTCACACACAGCTCCGTCACGTCACACACATGACACACCTCTGAGCACAGAAAAGCCCCCCTCCCTCCCCAGCAGCTCCTCGGCCGCTGGCCCCCCTTGTGTCCCTAAAGCACAATGACCAACTGCTGCCTTCTCACCCAACCTGTCTGCCCAGTCACACCTGCTTCCACTGCTCCTGTGTAGTGCTGAAGCACAAGCTACAGCAGAGCTCTGCACCGACCCCTCCAGACTCAGACCACTCTCCCCATCTCAGTTTAGCAAGACGGGAAGGGCAGGGATGCGCGGGTCCTGCGGGGAAGTGACAGTGACAGTGACGGCTGTCAGGACACAGCTGTGAGCACTGGAGACCCTGCGAGTCACCAAGGTTACCCCAAATCCACCCTGGTCCTGTGACAGACCTGATGTGTCCAAGGACAGAGCTGCCACCTCCTCAAAGGCAGCAGGCCTTGCGTCTGACTCTGCCCACCTCACCCCAGCTACAGGCGCAGTTACACTCTGCCCATATCCGAATTAGCCTTTATTCAGGGGAAAACACACACCAAGTACCCTACATCAGGAAAGAGACGTTCCTGGAGGTGTAACTAGGCACAGAACAGCATCAAGGAAATTATTACTGGCCCATCAGCAAACTGTCTGTGTTACAGCTGCCCAAAACACGATTGCAGTGGTGCAATAAAACACCCTCACACGTACTCCAGCATTAACAGCCTCGCATATGGAAACCATGAGGCTACAGAAGCCAGGCCAAGAATGATCCTGGCACATGAGTACTCCAGTTACAAACAACAATCAGAAAAAACACTGGAGATGTCTGCAATGAAGCTTTGGAACAGCTCAGAGCCAGTCCTGCCCCAGCGGCCCCTGTGCACCCTGAGCACCCAAGAAGCAGAAACAAGCCGGCCCAGGACATCTCTGAGAACAACACGGAACAATGGGACAGTCTCTAGGAAAAAATACAAATCCCCTCCCGTGAAACGAACAATACCACATGCTAAAAGAATATTTCATCTGCTTAACTGCAGGGTGCAATAACATCAATTTGCCCAAATTACACACAAGCAGAAAGGTAATTGGCACCGAGCAGAGTGTGTTGTGACTGTTCAGTCACTCTTTGAGGCCAGCTACAAAAGACTGAAATGCAAGAAAGTAAACAATGGCATGAAACCAACAGCCAGCCCCTTCCCCAGAATCCCTCCCTCTGGCATGGCACTGCCGCAGTTAGGCAGAGACTTCCAAGAGGAGTCTGTGCAGACCTGCCATCACCCAGTCGAGCTGGGATCTGCAGAAAAAGGGAAACTGTTGAGTTTGAACAAGCATGGGTTAATCTGCAGAAAAGCTGTTTTTTACATTTTTAATTAACTCGGTCTTAGACTTAAACATAACAAAGTGGTGAACACATATCCATATAAAAGAATTGAGCAAAGGGAGAGCAGAGACAGTTTTATATAATAGCAGGGGGACTGAAGGGGGACACACAGGGAAAAGGCATGAGGTAAGTAGCTGAGTATCTTCAAGCTGAAGGTGGGAAAAGGAATTGTCGTCAGCTAACAGAATTAGCAATCGCTGCAACAGTGAGTAGATTTATAAACTGAAGTTATCAAAAAATATCCGTTAATACAGTTTGTTAGGGACATTTAAAATTCCTGGGTGTGCAATGGTCCTCTGCCTCCAACCAGCTCAGCCCTTCCCGGGGCTGCAGAGCTGCCGTGTGTCACAGGGTACCAACTTTCCTTGGTAACAAGAATTAACTTGCAGCCTGGGATTTGACGCTTGGTACTCTCAACAGATAGAACCTCTAGTTTTAATTCTCTCCAACTATCAGGAACGCAGCGGCTGCCGCACAGCTCCGCACCCCGCACCAGTACCGGCACTTGCATAATAATGACTGCGGGCCTGGAGGCGCGGGGCCGGAGCACGAAGGCGAAGTTCCTTACATAAGGACCGCAGGATCGATGCGCTGCTCGGCGTGAGGTCGCGGGCAGGGCTCCCGACCCCGCACAGGCCCGGGGCTGCGTCCGGCGGGCAGGGCCGGGGCTGCCGCGGCCGGCGGTGCCGCAGCGCGGGAGGGGCGAGGGTCGGCAGCGCAGCCCCCGCGGCCGGAGCCGGCCCGTCCCCGCCCCGCCCCGCACACAAAGACGGCCCCGCCGCGCCCCGCACCGGCCCCGCTACGCACCTTTGACCTGCGCCTCGTAGTCGGCGATGATCTCTTTGTCCTTCTTGAACTTGCCCGGCGCTGACATCGTGCGGGAGGGCGCGGGTCCCGCCGGGACCGCCGCCCGCGGCGCTCCTCCACCACCACCACCTCCTCAGCCGGCCGCGGCCCCGCCGCCGCCCGCGCCCGCCGTCATTGGCGGCGCCGGGGACACCGCGCACCGCCCGCACCGCGGGGAGCGCGGGGCCGACGGAGCCGAGCAGAGCCGAGCAGAGCCAGGCAGGGCGGAGCCGCGCTGAGTTGGGCTGAGCCGAGCCGAGCTGAACCGAGCCCAGCCGAGCCGAGCTGAGCCGAGCCCAGCCGAGCGGAGCCGAGCGCAGCCGCTCCCGCCGCCGGCCGAGGCGGGGCCCTGGCGCTGCTCCCGCGCTCAGGTTGCGCGCGGGGCGGGGCGTCCCCGGCCCCCGCCCCGCCGGGCTCGGTTCGGCCCCGCCGGGCTCGGTTCGGCCTCGCTGGCTCGGCCAGGCGCCCTACACGTGCAGATCCCGCCGAGCCGGCCCCGCCGCTGCCAGTGGGTGCCGATTACCCCGGTTCCCACCCCGCGGGCGGCGTCTGTCGCTGTCCCCGCGTGTCCCCGCTCCCGGAGCAGCCCCTCCTCAGCCCAAGGCTCCGGCCTCATCCGGACGCCTCCGGGCCAGCAGGACTGCACTGGGGCACATTTGTCACTTCTTGTGAAAATTAGGAAAAAAAGGATAAAGTGTTCGTTCCGGCAGAAGCAGCAACAGTGCTTAAGGCTCTTTTCCAGGGGTCTTGGCTGAGCAGTTGGAACCCGGTGCCGTGAAACCCCACACACTCATCTGAGCCCTTGCGCCAGCCATGCTGCAGACTCGGCTTCTGCAGATCCGCAATCCACTGAGTGGCTCCTCTGTCCAGCTCCAGCCATGCTCCGACCACTGCTCTGCACAATAGGTCCTTTTGTGGGTGTCCTGTGAGGAGTGAATTCAGGGAGATTTGATGATTCAGTTATTCTGCCAGCTTACAAAAAATAACCCCAGCCCATTACACAAATAATTTACCTAGTGCGAGCAGGCGGCACAGAGGAGCATTCTGCATCCCAGCGGCCGGGAAAGGCCCAGGGAGGAGGGAGACAAAGCAATCACTTCCAGGGAAGCACAGCCACTGCGGAGCACGAGGCCCAGGGTCAGGGCTGAGCCGGTCACTCCTGCTCCGGGAAGGCCCCAGGGAGGGCACAAGCTGTGCCAGACCCTCAGTGGCACAGGGAGAAGCAGAGCACAGGGAGCGCAGGGCAGGGAGGGCACAGGAACAATGGGCACGAGCATGGGTCAGTGTTTTGTGGCGGGGCAGGAGCAGCCAGAGAGCACGTGCTGGTCCCTCTGGCCAGCTGTGCACCGTGGGGGACACAGGATGACACGATGCTCCAGTGCCAGCATTTAGGGGACAAACTCCTCTGTGGGGTGAACAGGCAGGGCCGGCAGCTGGCAGGGCCTGAAGTGACAGGGACACACGACAGCGATCCGGTGGAGCTGCCCTGTGGGATCCTCCTGGTGCTGGTGTGCCAAACCACGGAGCAGTCAGGCTCCCAAGCCGGCAGCTGCAGAGGTGGAGGAGGGAGCTGGGGGGAGCGGGACAGCCTAGGCACAACCTGGGGAAGCAGCGGTGTTCTGTGAACCCCTGACCTGACAGCCAGCTCAGGGGAATGAGGGAGCCAAGTGGGGAGGCTAAACAAGAACAGAAGACCTGACAGTGGAGGGCTGGGTGCACCCAGCACAAAAGAGGCAGGAGGAGAGAAGTGGGGACAGAAGGAGGCTGTGAGCACTCCTGGCTTGAGCTGGAAGGGTGCAAGAGGGCCCTGGGCACAGGAGCTGCTTCCCTGGTCTTCAGTGAAGGAGTGTTGACACGTCAGCTGAGAGAGCTGGGAGGTCTGGGGGCACAAACAGCAATTGCTGAACTGAGATAATGGAAAGAAGCGAGCGAGGAAAAGCCATTGACCTGTGATGGGGAAGCCAGGAAACTGTGCCCACTCTGTGCCCAAGGCTGTGTAAACCCTCAGGAGGGCAGGCAGCAGGCTAGCTGGCTGCTCTCACTGGTTTGGGTTGCATCACTCACCAATACGCTAAGGATTTTGTGTCAAAACATCTTTGAAACACAATTTACCTTGGTCTGGGCAGTTTCTCAGCACTGAGAATGGCAGGATGAGGCGACAGAGCCTGCTGGCAGTACAACTTGTTATCGGTTAGATGGATGATGCACAAGGCAAAGAACAAGTCAAAATGCTTTGTGGAGGGAGGTGGCTGTGAGATGAACTTATCTCCCAAATATTGCTTAGGTTGGGTGAGGAATTTTTGATGGTGGGCAACATAATAGCTGACATGGGGAAATGGAAGAGATACCAGAGCTCTATTAAGCTGTTAGCGGCTGTGGTAAAGAGAAAAATAACACACATTTTTTACAGATGGGGAACATGATGTCGTGTTCTTTCAAAGCCAGTACCACTCTGAGGGGACCTTACGGTTTGGAGCTTGCCCTCCACAAAAAAAACCCAAACAAACAGGAAAAGAGAAGCACAGGCCATTTTATAATGGATTCATCCCAGCAGCAGTCACTTCAGCTTGTAACACCCACAGGGATTCGGAGAGCAAAGACCAACGTTTCCTAAAACAACCTGTGCCACAGGACAGATTTTTTTATCTTGCCAGATTGGTTCAAACATATGAGGCCCCTTCTAAGGTCAATGCCAAGAGTCTAAAGGCATTACACATCTTTTACCAGGGTGGTCCCCAATATAGTGGTGAAAGAAAAAAACCCAAACAGTCATGAAATGATCCAGAAGCATCAGGGTTTTTTGTTACTCAGATACCATGAAGAATAAAGAAACAGCGATGGCTGAAGAAAAATAATCCAATCACAAATTAATGATGTTTAATAAATATCAACATTTGGATCATTTGTGGAATTTCAACTTAAAACAGCTTCTTAAAAGGAAGGATTACATTCTAATTCACTTTGTGACACTTCCAACACAGAATTTTTAAATGAAGAATGGGATAGGATGGGATTTAATCATAACAAACACTTCAAGCTTGAGGTATAGAGAAACCAACAGTAACTATGGCAACGTGGTCACTCCAGTAAGGCTAATGCAGATTATTTCCAGGGCAGTAGCCTTGTGTGTGCTGAGGAAGCAGAGGTAATGTTGGCTTAAAGCAATTCCTAAATTAAGGAAAATTCTTTAGGCAGAAGCTGTCTTGCACTCTTTGTTTCCAGCTTCAGACTGCAAGTGTTTCATCATGTGCTGAACATACACACAGCGGCCCCAGCAGGGTACACAAATGCTGCTTCCAGAGAGACACTTGTGTACATTGCCATGAGTCAGGCAGACCCTCTGGTCATGGATTCACAGACTGGTTTGTGTTGGAAGGGACCCTGAAGCTCACCTCATTCCACCCCCCTGCCACCTTCCACTAGGCCAGGTTGCTCCAAGCCCTGTCCAACCTGGCCTCGGATACCAGTGGAGCTTTGCAAGGGGAGGCTGGGGCCAGGCTGGAGCCTCACCAAGCCACAGCTGATATGGACACTGAGCTGTGTGTAGAAACCTTTCACAACCTCATGCCAGGGCCACAGCTGCAGCACTGCCACCAGTTACCCAGCCCAGAGAGTAAGGCAGCTCATGCAACATGACCCCAATTCTCCCCTGGTCTTTCTGCCTTCCTGAGGTCTCTGAAAGGCAGAATCCCCTGTGCCGTACCTTGGGTTGATGGAGCTGGGGAACGAGGACAACCCTGACATTGCTGAATCCTCTGCAGCCTCTCTAGGAAGCTGCTGTAGATCCCTACTTGGTAAGAGCAGCTCTTCCAGTCCAGACTCGGAGGTCACCAGGAGATGTGGGCTCTGTCCTGGGCTCGTGAGACCTGCAGCAAACCAACCAGAGTGAGAGAAAGTGCCCACACAGGAGAGTGCTTAGCTCTAGCAGGGTCATCTGGGGAACAGAATCTCTGTGAACCCAGCCCTGCTGGCTGTCTGCTCTGCAGGAATGGCACAGCTCTAATACAGCCAGACTGCTGGGGAAAGGCTCCCATACGCACATTCCCCAGCCTAAGAAATAAATGGTTGAAGACATGTAACATAGAAGTTGTTTGTGCAGCACTACATCACCTTTGGGTTTTTTTGAACCTTACATCCTCTTTCCTGCCAGCAAAGTGCTGTTATCTTGTCATATTAACAAAAGAACTAGTTCTCCCTCTGTTCCCTTTTTTATCTGTGTAGTGAAGTGCCCTCATAACTTGGCATTGACCTGCCTTTTCACCCAAAATAACTGCAGCCGAAGACAAGTCTTGATTTCTGTATCCAGACACATGTTTCTTTTCAGGTAAAGCATCCCAGAAGTTTGCTTTTTATTTTTACTTTATATGCATTTCCAACAGCTCAGTTGTAAGTAGAAGGGTGTCCTCCAAAAATATGAGTTTAAGGTTCTTGCAGCCATGAATATTCAGAGAAGCAACAGAGCACTCTAAATATGCACCCACCTCGATCTCTGCCTCTTCACTGTTACCATTTTAAGCCTTTGTCATACCAGAAGAATTCAGCATTACACTGGTCAATAATTCAGGTCACTCTAAGAAATGGGAATATTTATTTGTGACTAAAAGCACACGGAATTACGATCAACAACTTGGCAACAGCAATAATCCCCGCAGCTCTAATTCTCCTGTAAAAGGCATTGGAGGCACAAGCTACTCAGAACCTGCTGTAACTGCATGAGGCCACAGTTGCACTGCACAGGCGTTATCAGTGGTGAAAGGGCTCTTGTGAGCAGTTTCCTGCTGGGGATCTGTTACCCCTGTCTCCCTGGGGAGATTGCCCACACCCTGTGGTCAAAGCTGCGCTTTGGTTTCCCTGCTGTGACCATCAGCTTCCGCTGGTGCCTGTGCAGCCTCTGCTCTGGGAAACAGGCACCCTGTGCCCACACCCAGGCTCTTTGAGCAGGACATCCCCTGCACAAGGCTGGCATTTTTGTGCTCATATCCAAGGTGTGCATCTGAAATCCAAGCAGTGTTTAAGTCCTGCCCACACGATGGGTTGTTGCCCTTTGCCCTGGACTAAAGCCCCCAAAGAAGTGCTTTTGCACAACAACTCTTTGCGAAAAGTGACAGGACCCATCTTCTGGTTAACTCTGT